GGACAACAAATAAAAAGCCTTGCTCTAGTGACTAAGCTGGTTGGCCATATTCCTTATCTATCGCTCTGAACTTGCACTAGGGCAGCTGAAAAGCCCTCCTTTTTTTCCTCGCATGAATCTGCTCCTTTGGTCACTTGGGGATGGTGCTGCTGGTGTGCCAAGTAGCAGAAAAAGGGTCGGACAGACGGTAATAAAAGCAAAAGTCACACAAGGCTGGGGGGCTTCTTTAAAGATGTCACCTCAGCACAAAACCTGCGCCTCAGTGATGTCCAGGGGCAGTGCTGCCACCTTCTCCAAGGCTGCCAAATTTTCACCATTAGGTTGTTCACAAATCAGGTGAAATTGCTCTTCAGTGAGGCCGACACTTCTAAAATCAAGGGGATGTCACCCAGGTGCAGACGTACACCCTCCACGCTGGGCTTTGCTTCCAGTGGCTGCTGCTGTTTCATGCCTGGAGACTCCCAGGAATACTCCGCGGCTTGCAAATGCCAATCCCACGTGTTCTGCTACTAACAGTGCTTTTATATGAATTCCTTGCTGTCCTTCAACAATGCTGCTGTTAAGAGCTTTCTTGTTGTTGAAAATCTTAACTTTATTACAGCTTTTAAATGTCATATATGACTTTATACTGCACTATATAAGCTAGTGTAGTGTCCTGAAAACCATCCATTCTTAACAACAGCCACAATCAGCAGTTTTACAAATTATTTTTATTTTCTGTTTTTATATCCTCGTCCTGTACCGGTAAAACACAAGTAACTCACTGAACCTATTTTGTTAATTTGCCACTTTCTTCTGAATATTTCTACCAGCAATGAATATTTCTACCAGATGGGCACTGAAAATTTATTAGATATTTTGAATATTTTTATCCAAGAACTAAAAACTTATCTTTAGTTTATAAATGCTGGGTAGATTAAAAAATGTATCTATATTCATGCCCAATATCCTTAGTATATATATGTATATTACTATAGTTCCCGGTTAATATTGTGTGCCCGTTTATTTGCACCACACAGGTAGGCAATCCCAAACAGATTATAATCTCAGAAAACACAACAAATGAAAGATAAATAAATGGGTCTTTGAACGAATAACGTGGACAAGTAACTTAGCCAAAGTCACATCGTGGATCAGAAGCACAACCAGGCGTAGAGCCCAGAATACACATATTCAAGTGCTGGATACTGGACATGGTCCCTACATATATTTCTAAAATGACTGTTTATTTTAATGAGATGAAGTAAAATACTTCCTCAAAAATAATAAAAAAAATTCCCACACATTCTTAGTTCTAGTGCTTCATTTACCAGTGTCACACAAGCATGAGTTACACAAACACAGAGGGGGTCAGGAAAACTTCCTTACATTTGTATTGTCAAGACAGTTTGATTTGTTTCTTCTCCAATGAACTTGGGAGAGTCTGTAGGAAGGAAAAGTACTAGCAAATACGAAAATGATCTTAGGAACAAAAGAAAAATCAGAAGCTGCAAGAAATAATGTTGGTCCTTCAGTCAGGGCTATTCCTTCTTTAGAGTTTGCATTGGGTGAACACTGCAATATGATTTTAATTGTTGCATTACCGCATGATTTTCTGCTTTGGAGCAGGTGTAATGCATTCATTATGACCACTGTGCCCACTGAAATAAAACACCTCAGGAGTATGTTCCAGCACGTTCAAAAAGCTATAGACTTTGCTGGAATCTCCAGCTCCTGCATATAGCTATAGGTATTTAATGTGGGAGATGTTCAGCTGGTAAAGACTGGCAGAAAAACCCGAAGAAAGACACCAAAATCCAGAGCAGTAGATACATTCATTTCGACAAAGATACACTATATCTCTGGTAGCCACTTCTTTTTTCTTCTTTATTTTTAATTTATTCTGGCTTTCAGTCCTAGTATTGTGTTGAGGTCCCTTGAACACACCCTTTGCAGCCATGTAAAGAGACGAGCACTTCTCCAGGGAATGTACAATCTAAGCACAGCACGAGCAGGGACCAGACAAGAGATGCAAGAGTGGAAGAGCTGAAGGAGGCCCTGGGCTGCACTGTGAAGACACCACAGCTTTGTTCAGCTCTGCTGCTTCTAGGCCCTCGGTGGCAGGGGGTTAACGAAGCCAACTTTCAGCTCCTCCAAGGACACAGGACTACGGAAGCGAACGTCTGCCTGTGGATATTTTAAACAAAAAGGAAAACACATGGCCCTCTGGAACTCTGCTTGCTGCTTCTCCAGCTGACAGGTCGCAGAGAACAGAGAGCCGAGGGCTGGAACTGAGCGCAAAAGCTTTAGTCCAGGTGCAAAAAGAGAACACACCATAAAATATATCAGTTTTAAAAGCAATCAGATTAATGAGCCACAAACACRGAGTTGAGAGCACTCATGTACAGTCATCAGGCTAAAAATAAAAACAGGCACAAAATATTTTACCTGTAGAAAAGAACAGTCCCTTACCTGTGTAAGGGATATATTTGCAGACTATGAAAGACAACTTGGAAAAAACGATTAAAATCAGACTTTTTTTTTGAGATTCTACATATAAAATAATAATGAGCAAAAAATAAAACAGCAGAATAGTTTTAGTTTGTAAAATGGTACAGATTTTATTTCATAAAATCAGAATTTCTGTAAGAAGCATATGTGGATTAAAACCACAAAGCCTGTTGATGGCAGCCACAATGTGCACCTTCAAACTCAAGTCTTGAGACATGATGGCAACTGCTTCGCAGTAAAATTCCCTGGGCAGGTTGGGCCCCAGGTCAGAGCCAGGGAGGGCAGATGCAATCCCACTGTGGAAAGGGAGGAAGAGGAGGAAGAGGAGGAGTGCCCATGGCTCGCAGCAGCCTGCGCTCCCCAGAGACAGCAAGGCCAGAAGAAAACATAAGGAGTCATCCAGTCCACCCCTGCCAGAGGATGAGCTGTGCCTCAAACATCGCCAATGTTTCAAGTCAGCTTTGTTTAACCTTTTCTTAAAAATGTGTATGAATGACTTTATAATGTTCTCAGGAAATGTACTGCAGGGCTTTGCAAAGATACCATCAGCAATTGCTCTCCCTAGCGTCTGAGGGTAGCCAACTACTACTTGTCTTATGAATACAGAATTTGGAGAACAGAGTTTTGGGGGGAGGGTTTTTACTCTCCTCTCTGCAGTAACTTTCTACAAATGCAAATACTCCTTTGGTCTTCATTCCTGCAGACTAAACAAACCCAATTCTTTTATTTTTTACTCTCATCTTTCTTGTCTCTTACCCCTGGACTCTTTCCAACTAGCCCCCAGCCTTCCCACAGTGTGGTGCCTAGAACTGCATATAGTATTCCAGCTCAGACCTAACTAGAGCTTAGTAGGCCTAATTGGAGCAAAATGTTATTCCATGTGCATTTCGTGGGAACTCTTTATTTATTCACTCATATACATATATATATATATAAAATTATTTTTTAAAAAAACATGACATCATCAACCCATAGTTACCCTGCCGTTCACTGGCCTTTTTTCCCAGAGAATTTCTAAAGCTACTGTGTTATCCGTCATCCTCTACCTACTATTACTCATTTGCCATCAATGAAATGAATCCTACCTACACAGGATTTCTCCAATTAATTAATTAAAAAATCTAGTTCTAATCTATTCCTCTAGTGCACTTTCAATCTTTACCAGTAAGCACGGTTTGTAAGTGAAGTGTCTATTGCATAATTGAAGAAAATCTACGGAGCAAGCACACACAATAGCATCAAACAGGCCTAGGTAGAGCCCTACCTGTTGCATTCTCCGGGATGACAGGGAATGACTAAGAACCCTAACAGCACAAGTCCCTGTGGTGGCTCCATTCAGACTCACCTACTTTGGCTACGATGATGTCCCTGAGCAGCCTTAATCAAGACATGTTACCCTTGCAGCTTCTCAAGAAGAGACCAGAACACAAGGCCAATTAGTCTTTCATGGAAGGAATGATTTGATGAGATTTATTTGGTGTCATATTTCTTCTTTTCCCTAAAATTTTGAATGAAAAAAGGAGAACTCTGGAAATGAAAATGGGTATACAAAATATTTTTCCTCTGAAGAACTGTGAAAAGAATCAAAATGCTTCTTGCAGTKTGTAGAGATCTTCAGTTGAATGAAATACATGAAGATGAGACTGAAACTCAGAACCATTGTGCTGAACTTTCAGATTTTGGTCAGAAATATCCTACAGTAATGCTAGTAATTCTAAAAGCATGTTAAAAAAAAMTGGAAAACTGAAAACCCTTTTTTATTAAAAACTTGAGAAATCCCTGTATTTTATGAGCAGTCATGGATTTAGGCTGAATTCAAATATAACCCTATACATCTGCCTTATTCCAGCCTTCTGCACCTACTGCCTTCTGTTGCCAGTTGTCAAGGCTCACTCGTACAAGATGTTTCATGTGTATATATGTGCTTATTCCTTCACCTCTGTCCAATCTTTAGATCTTCATTCAGGTAAATGTAGTTTCCACTTACCTCTAAGCTTATATCACTGCCTCCCTTGGTCCTAAATTAAAGGCCTAGTCATTAGTTCAATAAATTGCTGTTATAAGAGTCCTCCTTAATTATTCTATTTTTATCTTGAGTTATGCTATTTAAGAGGTATATAAAAAGGTTACCGACAGTCAAGACAGTCAGGACAGACAAGTTTAAAGATAAATCAAGATGCTGSAGAAAGGCCTCAGAAGACACACTAATTGGCAGTATTTCAAAGTGAAATAGCCAGGATTCACAAACTTTATGGAGGTCTCAGTAAAAAATCCATTAAAAATCACAAATATAACAGACTTGTCCAAAATTCTTAATATCATTGGTCTTATTTTTAATATTCTATTTATTGAGGTTACAAATAACGCAAAATATAACTCCGGTATTTAATTTATAAAGCTTTTATATTTCCATGTAAAACAAAGAGTAGATTTAAAGTAAAAAGATCTTAGTGGAGGCAACACTTCCTTAGCTTCAACAAGATTCTAATTTTTTAAGAGTAAATGCGTAAACARAACATCCATGATTTCCCTTTGCACACATCTGTGCTGATCAGTTGATACAAATATAATTTACTATAGAAATAAAAAGAATATATTTTTTGTTTTTGCTACACAGTTCTATGCTGGCATTGCAGTTTAGTTGGTTAATCATTTGAACAGTAAGATCTATGCATTTTTTCACTCTAATCCCCAATATGTCCATTGCCAGCAGTGGACTTCATGTTCAGAGAATGGAATTCACAGTGTCAACAATGCAAAATTAAACTTAWATACATAAATTTATAAATATTCAAAGAAATTAATGCAATCATTTTCATATCACAATTGCCAGGTACTTAAAGGCCATGATCCGAATCCACTAAAATCGATGACAGGTTCCCCACCTGCTTCGCTGCAATTTACCTGCAGTTCCGAATGACTGCAGATTTCCATCATGATCCCACAATTTCATCACAGCAGGAAGACTTAGCAGTGCACAGTGTCACAGCTTCAGCGTGAGAAGTAGAGCCTCCAAGTCTTTCTGGGTCTCTTTATCCTGTAAAAGACAGACCATCACACACAAACTTCGGATAAATCCCTTGATTTGCCCGCTGCTACGTGCCTCTCTGCATTTCTTCACCAACAACAGACATAACAGACAACTGTGAGAGCCACACAATGTACAAGSCTGCATAGTAAGTTCATTTATCAGCGACTGCAAAAAGTCAAGTATGAAGTGAGAACAGGAGCCAGATGGCAGCCCTCCTTATACAGCTCTGTTAAAGCACTTAAATTGTTAGCCACAAATAGCCTCCTCAACAGACCAGTAAGCTTCCAGCTTAGGCCATAACTTTTATTCGTGTACCCTGCATACACACAGCTTTGCTGTGTCTTATATTTTACGCAAGCTCACAACCCACTTTTCCTGTGGATGTTTCTGGGTCRTTTCCTAATAATTCATTACCTAATTAACAACAAAACATTGGGAAATGCAATTAAGGACACGGCCGAGACGGTGTTTCCAGTGTGTCTGGCCAGATCCACCTCCAATATCCCACTCTCTCCCACGGAGGAGCACRTGGGCTCTGCTCTTCTCTGCTGTGGTCGGAGCCCATACCGAACCCCATTGCCCTGGGGAGAGGGGAGAGGCTCCTGTCAGGCTCACGTGTGAGGGCACGGCTTGCACAGAGCTATTCCCAAACAAAACCGGACCCACACCGCTCTGCCAGCAGCATCCAGTGACATGTGCCTTGGTTATTCCATATAAAYCATTTGGAAATGGGTACGTGTGCATGAGCATGTAACAGCAGTACAGAAAAAAAAAATAATAATAATTTAGTACCTCATAGCTGCAGACTGGTAAGGGTCCAAGCAACCCGTACTTGCACCCGCACGTATTTAATGGTACAAGGGCATATGGGCAACACAAATTTTGAGTAAGTATGAGAGAGATCAGTACTTTTTTTTTTTCTGATAACAGGCATTTCTGAAAGAAAATACTACAGACAGAGAGTGAAGCAACCACTGAATTTCAGGATCACTTCATTATCCAATCARCCAAAGAGCTGGAACAAAATACAGGACATTTTAAAATATATTTCACGGGTGAAGAAATTCCTGCTTCTTTTTATTTTGGTTACTTGTCTATAATGTCATGGAGGAATAGAGCAGAATATTGAGATGAGAGAAACCATATGCCAGATACGTCAAACTGCATTATATTATTGCTCTGCATTAAGGCATTAATACATTAGCTGGACACTTCTCTTGGAGTCRCTGCCTTGCTCCCGCTGGCAAGGATAGGCTAAACTATCTGCCTAATCATTTATCAGAGGCCTCTGAAAGGCAGCACACACGGTAAAGCTAGTGCAAGCTCTTGCCAAAACTCTCTTGCAGAAGGAAATGTCACACTGAAGCCTGCACCCCTTAAATTCCATGTCACTGTGGGCTGCTTGGAGCACCAATCCATACCTTTCAATGACAACTGGAACATCCACAAAATTTGCATCAGTATGTCAATTAATTCAGGGAAGACTTTTCTTTTTTCCCTGTACCAATTGTTGCCTATGAAAATGGTTCCATTTTCAGAGAAAAGGTTTTCTCTGCTTCTATCTGGCCCCAGTCTTTTCACACATTTCTGAGCCAAAAATAACAAAGATGCAGATTTTGTCATAAGTTAATGAATTAAGGTTGGTATTTTACAGGTTTACAAAATTCTTCACTCACTTTGCACAATATAGCTTTTTAAAAACATATGTCCAAATAGTTCTGCACAATTATCTTCTTCCTTAGAAGCAAATTATTATGTTGGGCAATATAGGGAGTTGCAAAGTCCCAAATCCATTGGGCAATCTTTCCTGAATCATCCTCTGGGCTTAGGAAAAAGAACGAAACAAAAACAGGATTGTTCTAAGACCTAGTTAAAGGAGAAGCTGGAAAGAGCACGCAGAGTTCTCCACCTCTCAGTTGCGAGTATTAAGAAAGACTATACCAGAAAAGGCAAGAATTATTGTTGTGAATTGTTGTGGATTTAATGTGCTGTGTTAACTGAGCTAGCAGCTTCCATTGAAAAGTAAAAACGCAGCTGGAAAAAAAAACAGTAAAAATTAAAAGAAAGCCTGAGAATGGAAGGAAACTATTGTCTCCTGCAAGCAGGGCCCCTCTCGAGAGTTGTGTCATGCTAAAAGGACAGAGAAGTCCCAACGCTGTTACCTGCCACTCTCTAGACTGACTGATGAAAACTATGTTACTGCCCAAACCTTGACTGTTAGTGGGAACACAAAAAGTCCTGTTTCTTCCTCGTGGAGTTTCACGTCTACAGCTTTCTAGAAACAAACACTGAAGGAATTTTTTTTTTTTTTAATTTTGATTTTTGATGCCTCTCCAGTGTGGGGCAGGGGAGTGGACAGTGTGCAAGTCAGATGGGGAACTCACTGTGTTCAACCTGAGGCTGAGCTTAGCCCTCCTGGAATAYCCAGCCCTTCTCAGCCCTGGCTTTCTGCTGCCACGGCTTACCTTTATTAAACACTTCTCATATCATTTTCTGAGTGGAGTATGAGTTCAAACTGTTCTGCAAACCGTCACACAAAGGGCATTCAGAATTGCAGGGTCAGTGACTCCGTTTCTCTCTCCTCTTATTTACTTTTTAATTTCATCATTCATAGGAGGTATGCACAGGAAAGAAAGACCAGGGAGTCTGGGGACTGAGCAAGGGAAGAGAGGGAGTTGAGAACAAGAGCAAGACAGAGGAGTGGGTTGGTGGGAAGAAGGGAATGCTGGCTTAACTGCACGCAGCCCATATTTTTACAGTTAATTTCTGCTAATAGCTTTTATTTATAAACGCATAAGCACACATAGTCACATAAATGTGCACGCAAAAATCATATGGCAATTAAGACTGAGGCAAGAAGATAATGATTTCACCTTCCCTCTCAGCTAATTGYTTCCTTATGCACTAGGCACACTCGACCAGGCACCGCATGTGCGTGCACTTGTCAACAAAGTCCCGACTGTCAACAGGGAGCCGATACAGCCCCACAAGTGCAGCCCCAACGGCCACGGCTGCCAACTATAACATACTTGTGCGCGGCCGGTGCCAAGCACCGCGCTGACACGTGCCCCATGTGGCCGTGGTTGGGCCGTAGGGCTGGGGAATGGCGGGTGGGCGCCGCGAGGGCGGCCATGGCCGCGCTCTGCTGTGCAGGAAGGGCCGTGAGGGGCTGAGGGGCAGCCCGGCCTTGGGGCAGCCCTGAGGGGCTGAGGGACAGCCTGGCCTTGGGGCAGCCCTGAGGGGCTGAGGGACAGCCCGGTCTTGGGGCAGCCCTGAGGGGCTGAGGGGCAGCCCGGCCTTGGGGCAGCCCTGAGGGGCTGAGGGRCAGCCTGGCCTTGGGGCAGCCCTGAGGGGCTGAGGGACAGCCCGGTCTTGGGGCAGCCCTGAGGGGCTGAGGGACAGCCTGGTCTTGGGGCAGCCCTGAGGGGCAGCCTGGCCTTGGGGCCCGGCTGCATCGCTCCCTTGCCGCCCCACAAGGAAGCCCGGACTCGAGCAGAGGCAGTTGGGCGAGCACAAGGGGCCGCAGCCTTTGCAGGCAGTATAAATCACTGGGCAACGCTCTGTGCTACCCCTCCTCGGCTTCCCCACAAGTTCCCACTGATGGTGTGGTTGCAGCACATGTTATATTACGTTTAGTTGCCTGCTGCTGGTTTTCCCCTCGGATATTTCAATAAACCATCACAATCACCCACTTGCAGCTTTCTGCATGACTGCTGCATGTGACAGGGATTTTTACATTGCTTCAAATTTTCAGCATCTTCCTCCAGGAATGAAAGATGAGTTCTCTAAGCCTTTAGGATCATGGCAAAGAAAACTTTAAAATATGGAATACACTGTGATTATACTTCAAATAATGGGAAAGATGCCTTTTTCTATCAGGTTGTTTGTGAATAGCTAGTTCAGTTAGCTTTAGGGCTGCTGCTGCAAAGTTACTAAATACCTGAATTTACTTTTTAATGATTAACAGTTGGGCAGAATTTTTACACACCAGCAGATATTCTCCTATCCCAAAGCCCAGAGCCTCCCCCAGAGCCTGTTTCCTCTTCTCACGGCACACAAGGAGCTGTTGGTGCCGCAGGATCCCCCCTGCCTGCGCAGCTGTGGCCCCTTCCCTCCATCTCTGCCAGCTCAGACTCACTCTCACCCTCTSCATCGCCTCTGGGACAGTGCATTTCAACTCCTAGAAGCTCCATTTCCCCCATTGTTTAAAAAAAAMCATGAAACCGAATCTCTTTATCCCAAAACGTGCTGCCAGCTCTGTGAATCTCTCCCCTGCTTAGCCCCCATCCTCAGCAAGCCAAGGGAGGATGGTTCTTTGACAGGATGTTGCCAGAAATAAACAAGTTCATTTCCTCATACATACATTAAACTCGACATTTAACTACTGTAAAATAGACTTTCTCCGCATTAATCAAGTTACTACAAAACTGAGCAACCAAAATCCTCATTGCTTTTTGAAATCTTTTTTAGGAAGGGACTAAAGAGCAAACTACACAAACCTTTTGCCAATAACTTTAAAAACATGTAGCCTGTAAAGCACAGTGATAAGAGAGAAAAATAGACTGTCTTCTACAAAGAGCTAAATAATTTAAAGAATAGGAGCTGTCAATTTCTTTTAGTAGCTCTTTTAGCAGCTGTTGCATTTTAGCAGTATTTTACAGTTTGAAAATGGATCCCTTTAGTATGAGTTTTTGGCAGGTCCRTTTCCTAAGCTTCAAGTACTCATGTTCCATGTAAACAGAACCACTAACTAAAGCAATAGTTATTAAGTTTTTTTGGTTAAGCAGCAAGAGTCTTTTGCCAAACAGTATATTCAAAAGATACTTTAATTTGGGGTTGGTGGCAGCTATTAGGAAATCCTTATTGAACTTCATAAATAGTATTAGCAGGAAAACAACAATCTAAAATTTAAAAATGAATATCCATCTGAATAATTTCATTATTTTGTAATTGAAACATTATGGACTTTTGTTTAGCACTTTAAGAACAAATGTACATAAAATCTAAGTGAAAGAATACTCTCTGAAAACAATCACATTTTGTTTTGTGCAACATCTGTATTTGATATGTTTTTGAATAGGGGGGAAAGGGAAGATAGAAAAGAAAATGTTCTGCTGATGAGAAAACAAAAACATTTTTGCAGAAGATTAACCTAAATATCCATGTAGTTTCAATAGGTAGTTTCTCCACAAACAAGTTATAATTTTTACCCTTTCCTTTAAAAACAAAATGACATTACTTTTCCTGCTCTCAAAATCTTACTTAGAAATACAGATTACCAGCTTCAAATAAAATCTACTGGAAAAATCACAGCAAGGTCTGCTACATAGGACCAGCCTTGAGATTAAAGACGACCTATGCTGGAATATTTTTGAAAAACGAAAGATATCTAAATGGTCTATTTTGACGAAAGCAACTGAGAGGCGCTGGACTTTATATTCTGCCCCTTTTACTATTCCTTTGCAATGTCCACCCTTTTCCTTACAGAAAATATTCAAAAAGATCAGTCTCCTGGAATGTCAATTATGGTGAAGTAATAAAAAATAAGAAAATCTTTTGAGTGTGATTACCTCCACGGTCTTGAGGGGTTTCAGGCTTTTCAAGTATCATTAAAGTGTCACTGTTTGATGGCAGCGTCCTTACTGAGTCTATGCTTCCTGCCACACTATGCCCATAAAAAGTAAAAGTCAAAACCGTCAATTTCTGTAATATCTCTAACATTGCTCCCTCAATAATTCTCAGATCTGAACATCCTTCATTTTTAATTACTGGGGAGGTAGGAGTGTTTGGTTAATTTTTTTTTTTTTTTTTTTGCCAGTAATAATGTTGTGGTATATAGTCTCAGCTTAAGTGAGGTTTTCATCTGCATTTTAAATAAGATTTTTCTCAGTGCAAACAGATCTACTTTGCTTTTTTTTCCCCTGCTTTATTGTCTTCAGCTCTTCCAAGACTACATTGGTTTTTGTAAAATAATTGCTGCTTTTTAGATTAATTTTCAAGCAAAGCCACAGAGACAAGAACCTTGAGGTTGTATGCAAGATCAATGCTCATGTTTTCAAATTTAAATTATATTTTTCTCCCCAAGCTTAAAAATGTCATTTTTTTTTCCATCCCAATAGTCCACCACATCTGGTTTCAACAGCCTTTTATGCAGTCACACTCACCAAGCCTCCGAGTGCGTTACAAAGCAGTGAGCAGAGTCTCAGAACGGGCACTGCGAGGACTAGTGGATAAACAGAGCAGCTATTATACACTTGACAATAACTCACATGCAGCCCTCAACATTAGGAGCTCTTTTTTTGAAGGGGTGACTGTTTCCCAGGACCCTGAGGTTATCCACCTGGCCAGCAACCAGAGAAAAGCAGGACAATTTAATGTCCTGTGAACCTTGAACCATTTAGCACCACTCTGCAATGTGAGAATATTTACGGTCAAGGAAAAGCTGTACATTTCAGAGGTTTTCTGTTTAGAATAGAAAGAAAAAAGAGAATGGCCTCTAATATARTACTTTAACTTTGGTTTCATTCTCCAGGTCTAATTTGCACCAAGTGTCCTGTACAGGCTCTTACAAGAGAGAGAGAGAGAAAATATATACATATACACACACATATACACACATACACACACACACACATATATATGCATACTGCTTAGTTAAGGTGTCAAACGGAGTATTAAAAAAAATATGATACTTGGACTTATGAGAATCTTTCTCATACTTGGACTTATGAGAATMTTTCTCTCTCTTGACAATTGCTTTGGTATTCTGCTTTATCACTGGGTTGAAACCGGACATGAGTTTTGTTTTTCTTTAATGAGAATTAATTCTGTTTGGAAGCCCCTCTTCCCCTGGGAATTAAACAACTATTCTGCAAGTGGTAGAACTGACGCACAAAAGGGGTAACTGGATGGGATACAACATTCGAGACAACAATCATCACACTTTATTTGAGATGTTACATGAAATGAATCCTAGACAAGTGTCAGGGAAGTGCCTTGACTTAGACCAGCTGAGAATTTGGCCTCAGGATTAAAATGAGCTACGGGTTATTTTACTGATGCCAAGTACCTCTGGTTCCCACCAAAGTCAATGGAAACTGAATGCTCCGAAACAAAAAAAAATTAAACCATTATCTCCTATTATTTTTCATATTTGTGCTGCAGGGTGATGTGTATCATGAAATGCTATACATTTTCTCAACGTGGCACCTTTCCAGCAACTTGGTCTTTCTGTCTACTGCTGTTTCTATGCCTTGATACATATATATGTTTCTCAGTAGAAGCCAGCATTTAAAAAGCAATAAAGGAATTCCCCTGCCTGAAGAAAGAGAGGTTTTAAAAAAAAAATCACATGAGAAATTGTGATTACTCTCAGATTTCTAGCATGACCGTGACAACCCACTCTGCTGCTGACAGCCTTGACATTGTGTGCCGTGGCAGACTACAGAGGCCCTCGTGCTGCTGTTTACCTGTGTTTGCTATTGCGGTCCATGAACTCCACCTTCTCCAGGGCTGTAGTCAAGTCAAGCACTTTACCAGCATCTGTTTTTTTTTGTTTCCCCCAAATCTCCTATTACTGCCTTTTCTCTCCCATTTATTATCACAGCCTTTTCGCTCCCTCTCTCAGCTAAAAGTTATTTCTGTGCTGAACTCCAAACCCTGGACAACTGCATTTCCAACATGTCTTTCCCAGAATCACACGGAGTCTTTCTCTAACACAGCAACCAGAGCAATGCACAATATTATAATGCAGGTGAGACTGGAGTTAACAGCATCTGCAGCAGTCATGTTCCTAAATTTATCTCAAAAAAAAAAAAAAAAAACATCACAAGTAACAAGCCAAATCAGACAAATCTGTGATTCCTATAAAGTTAGTCATAGCAGGAGAGGATGGATCATCTTGTCCTCTTCACACGCACAAAATATTTTTGGACCTACTTGCTGCTCCTTTTCAGTTCACAWACCAGTATAATTCTTAATCTCATCACTGCTCTGCTTGTCACAATGCACATGAGCACCCTTCATCTTGCTCCTGGATTTCTTTCCTTCCCACCACAACGCCCTGCTTTCTCAGATCTGTCAGCACCTCAGAAATGAAATAGGACTTTCCCATTTCCAGGACCAAATAACCCCAGATGGGCTCCAGCTCTTGTCTAGAGTTTGGAGGCAGGATTTGTCTCCCATTAACGTGACAGCCTAGAGGGATATATTTCTCCCTACTGACTTTTGGCCAGCTAATCCTAGCAGGTATGAGCCCCATCTTACACCATCTCTGTATATTTTGAGGAATTTTCATGAATATGTTGAATGACTTCCAGCTTCCTATATACAAGCAGTCTGTCCACTACAAATTTCTGTGATATATGTGTCTGCAATTTTATTTGGCAGCATTCACAATTATGTCTTATTTTTTGACTTCAGAGTTCACTGTGATATTATCTGGCCTATAACAGGAAAAATAAACAAAAATATCATCAGCATAATCGCTCCAGACATACATAAACTTGGCTGAGCTCAACTAGTTTCAGTTGCATATTCTTTCCCTTAAATCATTGGTGCTAATTTATTTTTATTTTGCAATGAAATATGACACAAAAATACTGCTAATTGATAGCAGTCTTTCCTATGGTCTGTGAAAGAGAGGCAAACTGAAGGTACATTTACATTTCAGGAGATTTCAGGAGTACGTAAAGAACAGACTGAAGAGATTACTGTCATATCTATATCAATGCATATTTAAAGAAACCGTAAAGTTAAGCAGTGATGGCCTAAGTCATGACTGGTAGGCATGCTAACCTGGGTTGAAAACAGAGGCCACCCAGGAGCAGCTGCTGGTGAGAGGGACAATGGTCGTTCTTCCCAGCATGAACATTTGACATGAACATGTTACTGCTCMACACGTTACCCTTCTTGTCAGTCTAACTATGGAACTAGTTAATGGTCCTTTCTTTATCTTCAAAGGATTAGATGGGATAGGGTCGACTCCTCTCTGGAATCACATCCCTATCTCTTTCTCTCTCCCTCTCTTGCCACATCTGCTATGCTCAAAGGGGGTCCCTTAGGCTGACTAAGCTCAGGTTTGAACTTGTGATGCTTTAAGATGCTGTGACAGTTGCAGTCACAGGTTGTTAATTATGGAACTTGCTTCTACATGAGATCAGAGAGAAGGAGTGAATCTTCGTGCCATGGCTTGGGTTACATTTGAGAAATGAAACCACTTAAAATCTCTGCAGTATGTGTAGAAATTTCACATTCATGTATAAAATTGCTCTAAATGATCTAAAAAAATAACTTACTTATCTGTAAAAATAAGTAACAACCACTAAATGGACCTGGAAGAAGTGGGTCTAACCAGACTGCAACTGAAGCTCAAGACAAGCAATTAATCCAGTTTACCCAGCGAGGCCTTGACAAGAATCAAAAAAAAAAAAAAAAAAAGAAAAAGCTTTTTAGGTGAACTAGGAACTGTAGGACTAAAATCCAGACTACTTTCTGCCAAGAAAGAGTAGGTGTGAGGCAAAATTTCAGCACAGCAAGAGTAACACACTCAGCTGCTTGTGCTTAAGACAGTTTAATGAAATGGGTTGAATTACAAAGAGCTTAATTTACACATCAAATCTCTGACAGCCTTAGACACAGACAAGTCTCTGACAGTTTCCCCAAGATTTTCCTTACAGCTGTTGATACAGACAACTGTAATGAGCCAGCCTAGAGTGGAGGAGAAAAGAAGGTTCTGTGTTCAGAGGAAGAAGTGAAACATTATGCCTTTATTGACACTGTAATAATGAGTACTAAAGAACAGGACAGCAGTCACAAGAGAACAAGTTATCATTCTCAATACCCACCTCATTAGTCACTGAGAGAATTGAGAGCGCAGAATCACAGTACTTCAGTGCATTGTTTTTCTGGCCAAGATCTTTATAGCACTGAGAAGAAAAAAAGACACCACATTTTATTTCTAACCAGGCCACTGTAAGAATACCAGAATCCACAAATCATTTTCTAAGGAAGCTGATTACCTTTGCCAAATACACATAATTTGACTTGGAATATCCTGGACACATTTCTTCTGCCTAAATAACAAAAAACAGGAAACAAAATAGACATCAAAATTGTGTGATGAGACGTATGTGGTTAGCATAACATTTTTAGTAATGCACTAAGCTTCCTCAAACTGCAGACTCAATCATCCCTACTGTGAACATTACAGTCCATGCAGCACTAAAGGAAAAAGAAGAAAAGAAAATGCCCAAACCAGGCACATGAGATGATGATATTGATAYAAAAATGTTCTGAACTCCTCAGACAATGAGGAGGAAAGACAATGGATCACTCTAAATGAAAACAAAACATATTTATTTGTATGGTGAGCCAAAATGTTTTTTTATTTCTAGCATTACCAATAGTTATTTTCCATCAAAGAAATAAACATTAAACATCATTCCTCATTTTGGGTGATGTTTAAGAACTATATTTATTAATCTTACAAGTATTTTTCTTTCAACAACTTATTTACAGCTTCTTTACAGAAGCTACATACTTTAGACCACAAGAGTGCTACTTTCGCAGTAATAGTATATTATCAAACAATTTAAAAGGAGGCTCAAACAACTGTCTTAAAGAAGATAGTTTAGTTTTTCTTGTAGAAAATGGTTGAAAATACAGTTGCTTTGCAGCATGAGGTCTATAAGCCCACCACAAACTGCCCTGAAGTGAAGTGAATATTTCAAATGATTTTTGCTAGCTTCAGATCATGACCCTAAAGATAAAAATCTCTTACACAGAGAAGGCTATAATATATCGTGTTGTCTAAAACACAAGAAATTATTCCACTTTTAAAGAAACTAGAAACATAGAAAATCAAGACCTTTGATATTGCCAAAAATAAGCTTTTGTACAATTTACRGCAACTGTCTGAAGGTAATAATAATGATGGAAGTTTACACTTTGAACTTAATCAAGCAAAAAAATCTCCCATTTTTCAGTTCTGCAAATAGAAATGATCCACATAAAAGACACTGAAAGACAGCTTTATTTTATACACATGGGTTATTTTCTTAAAATTTGGCATTCATGTACAACAGCCATAGTCTATGGGACAAAGCTTTCTTTTCTGCTTCACTGTAAAGGTAATTTCTTAGCCTCCATCTCACCCCCCACCAATAAAAAACTAAATACATACATACATAACTAAATTGGAAAAGCTTCTACTGAAATTCAGAGAGAAGAGCTTCATGTCAGAAGTATTCCTTGTTTGTGTTAGAATTCTTGCAAAAATGGGCAAATAACCAGTTGTTATTATTATTCTCTGAGTCTACTGCTGTGGACAACTTTTTTCAGTGGTATGTACAATCACATCTGTTACCTATCTCACGTTCAAGTAACAAGTAATGTGGCAAGTACTTAATGACTTCTGCAGAATATAATTAAAAGAAGAAAGTACTAGCCGCTTGTCTCCAAGCTAATTTTGAAATAGAAAAAAAAATATTAGACAGCCCTGTGTTATTTAGGATTTATAGCTACTGAAAGTAATCTGTGGAGCAGACATTCTGGCAACAGCCACATAGAGCAACTGGTAAATAAGCACACAGAAAGCCTTGGCTARGACCTACCTTGAGGAAATTCTGCAATGCTTCTTCTACTGTGGAAGTAGGTGGAGTCCCAAAAAGAGCAGTAGCTACTTTCTTTTCAATCCAAGACAACTGGGCTACCTAGAATATAAATGGAAGAACAAAAAAAGGGAAGTCTTTGGGGATTGTTTCACAGATTCGGAGTAAAATATTGCCCCATGCTGTTGCATTATCTTTGCAAATTAGTTTGCAAAAGAATAAGCCAAATTAAAGTACAGTCTTTTGGTTTTAGAGTCTAAAATCAAGGAAATGTATACAGGTAGAAATACACTCCAAAACACTAACATTGTTGACAGATTATCCCAGTCTACAAAACTTAAGTTACACGGATAAAGCATCCCAAGACTGTACCACGAAAAACACGAAGACACAAAACCACAAAAACACCAAGGCCACTGTGTTAATCGTTAAATATTTCCAAGAAACTGACTGTGTAGATGATAGTGCATCTATTGAATTCTTTTCAGCAGTATGAGAAGCTGTTGCTACAGCCCAAATGTGCTCCTGGCCTTGGTAAAACAAGTATTTTACAGAAGCTGCTCACAACAACTGTAAGGAAGCAGGCTACCCAATGCCATCAAYCAGAACAGTCCTCGTCTAGGTGGACATCTCATTCTCCTGATTTCTTGCTGCAGACTGCTGCAAAAATACCACTGTAAAGAGAGCACTGCTAGGAAAGGGCCCAGAACCCTGTTCTCTCATTTGGCAGCCACAACCTCTAGGCAAGAGCAACACTGCTTGGGGACAGGAGGCGTCCTGGCCAAGCCCTGCTGGTTGTCTCGCAGCCTGGTTCAACGCCCTGCTTGTTAGATGGCATCAGCATCAAAGTCTTTTACTCAAAACTACTGAGAATTATCCTATATTCCAGAGATAAACAATACTAAGAAAGCAGAGGTCTTTTTTTTTCTTTTCCCCCCATCATTTCCCTCAGATCTCTCGATCTTAGAGCCTCTTTCAACGCAATAAAGCATTTTTAGAAAAGCTCTCTTCACCAGTCTCTCAGGTTTTATTAAAGCAAAAGCCTTTCCCCTTTTTGTGCTCAAGTGCTTTAACACTATGTTACAATTTGTAGCACAGAGCTTAAAACTTCAGGTTATAGATAGATAAATAGTATAGATGCATACACTGCACTTTCCTAGCTACTCTCACAGATTCTGCGTTTTTCTGTTTTTAGAAAAATATTTTCTTCAGGTCCTTCTACTGCTATAGGGCTCCATATTCTCTTGGAAGAGAAATTCTGTATCTCCAGGTTCATCTTTGCAAGACACASTGAGCTTACGGGAAGAGATGAAAAATAAAAATGAAGTGACTGAATCTTCTTACGCTGCTTTCTGGCACCTGGCAGTATATATAACCTGAATAGAGACACAATTCCCACACACACAGAATGAACTCACAGGTTTTCCATGCAGAGTTATAATTAGCTACTTAAAAGTTCTTCCTAGCAGCTGTATTACTGTTTTAAAAGATTCATCCAGAACTATTTCACTGAGGTTTTAGTTCTTATTTCGTCTGCCCTGGGGTACTGCTTTCTTCTACAAATACTTAGCCATTTCTGTATTACAAAAGCTACTGACTTAAAGCATCATTTAGAAGGAAATTGCAGCTTTAGTGGGTTTTCATTAATGTGCACTGGAATAAATATTACACTTTATGGGGAATATGCAGGTAGTCAGATAATTGTGTAATGCTTTCCATCCTCAGGCTTGCACAGTGATGCCTTGACAAATTCATTGCAGGAAACTCCAGGCATCTACAAATTAATGCCCAGTTTACAGTGATTTTCTGGGTTCCTTGGAGAGTCAATGGGAGACAGCAGCGCTTCCACCAGGCAATTCCTCTTGCTTCCTCTTCTACAGTCTGGTCTCAACTATCCTCTCTTCCTCTTTCTTTCTTTTGACTAGAAAGTGAGTACTGACAACTAGCTGAGACCTGACAGGTATCACGTGGATAGATAAAAAACAGGGGAAATGAATCCAACCCAACAGTTTAACCACCCCCTAACTCCTCTCCCCACCTTCTTTCCTTCCCTCTCTCCCAATACRGCTGAGCAAGGACAAAAGGAAAAGTGCTGCTTTGCAACATGAAATTGTGTCCTGGAGCAGTAATCACATACAGGAAATTATATCCTTTCCCTAAGCACACACAAGCTGAGTCTTTATTTTGAAATGAATTTATGACAGTAAATTTTTATACCAACTTTACTAAGTGCTCCCTGCGTGTGAGCATGCACGTGCAACAAACTCCAGTGCAGAAAGCTCTAGTGCAGTGAATTTTTCATTTCTGCCGCTATTTCCAATAGTGCAAAGAACACCTGGAGGCCCATACCAAGGGACGCAGAGACTGGATGAAGCAAGACCATGGCTGTGCGCCATCAGCTTCAGCATGACCATTATTTCACTTAATGGGCAGTCCCAGGACAGGCATCAGARGGCAGAAAGTAAAAACCAAAATAACTAACACAGCAGGTAATAACTACTACAACAATCACAAAAAAGAGATGAAAGAAAACATCAGTATTCTCCTGAACTTCCCTAGGGCCACCCAGCCCAGCTCCCAGCAAGGAGGGGACATCACTCTCCAGCATTCTAAACTAACAGAGACAAGATTTCTCCTGCCAAAAGGGTGAGCTTTCAGCAGCTTATTCCACCTAAATATACATTAACAGCAGAAACAGAAAAACATCATTCACAGGACTAAACTGCTGTTGACCATAAAGTCAGAGTTCAGCACTCTCCTATCAGACCTCGCCTTGTACTGAAGGCTGAGACAGAAAATATGGTCTCCCCTGTATGTTTTGTGTCTAAACTGGAAGTGGGAAAGCAGCTTCCCTAACATCCCTTTCTCCCATGCACATTAGTGGCAGCAAAGCCCTGATACGAAGTAACACATCCAGTGCTTGGAGTCTGCTTCTGTGCTCTCTTTGGCTTCGCCGAGAGGCAAACGCTGTCCATTCACACCCCTGCAGACTGCAGCACGCTGGTGCCACAGGAATCAGCCCGTTCGGCCTGAAACCTCCGCCAAGCCAGAGCTGCCTCCCGAGGGATTCCTTCTCCGCTGCCTCCTTGGTAGGAGTTTCAGAATATTTCAGAATATTTCAGAATATTTAAGGTTGGAAGGGACCTCTACAGATCATCTAGTCCAACCTTCCTGCTCAAGCAGGCACACCTAGAGCATGTGGCACAGGGCAGCATCCAGGAGGGTTTTGAAGACCTCCAGAGTAGGAGACTCCACAACCTCCCTGGGCAGCCTGTTCCACTGCTCTGTTACCCTAACAGTAAAGAAGTTGCTCCTCACCTGGAGTTCACTGAAGACACTACACAACTGTCTTCCACAAGGGCAAATGCTCACACTGAGTCAGCTCCAGGAAAATTTTAATGCCATCCATTTAAATATCTTCCAAGACTTCTGTTCTTTTTTATTACAACACATTARAATGAACTGTACAGCTGTGCAATGCCTTCACTTCTGAAGAAGACCAAATAACCGGCCTAATAAGAATGCTCTAATTCATATAATACATATATTTGTATATATATACACACACACAATTCACCACAAATGATATCATTTCCAACAAACACTTTCTGTTGGTTTGACGAGCAGGGTAGTTTTCACTCTCCCTTCACAAAAAGGAAGAAGCTGAGACTTAAATCTCCAAACAACGCTCATTTGCTTTAAATCACATGCAACAACATAAGCATGTATTAAACACATGAAATCTTCACTAAAATATATGTACTTGGCAAAGTCTGTTTTTCTTATACCAACCACAGATGTAATTTGATTACTAAATATTTTAAAATATCTTAGTCACAATTACACAGTATTCATCTTTTTCTCAACATTACCTTCAATGCTATCCYATACAAAATTACCACTGGTTAGCTCTGGAAAAAAAAGCCTATTAAAATGACATTTTGCATGGTTCTGTGATTATTCATCTCTAATATCATTCAATTATGTTTGCTAAATGCATTAATTTTTTTTTCTTTTCCTCATCACTACACTGGAGCTTCATGTGGGTTTTTCTATGCATGGTTGTCTTGAAGGATTTTTTTTTCCAATCGTGATATCTATGAAAAAAAATAAACCCACAACTGCCTATGATTTTGTTAGCAGAAGCAATTCTCTGACGAAGCCAAGCAATTCTCTGACAAGCGAGTTAGAGCAGAGTCAGAACCTCGGCTCTCTGTTACTGCTGCTTCTGACGGCGGGGTTGGGTTATCCTGAGGAGAGTGAGGAGATCTGCAAAACCCGCTTGGATCAGCTAAGGAAAACAAGTTGCTGAAAGCTTGCTGAAAGCCAGATACACGATCTGAAAGGACTGCTGAAGGATCACCTTGCATGAAGTCTTGGTTCAGACCAAGTCAAAGGCTGCCACGTTCTAGACACCACAGCAGCTCCCTCTGGCTAGTTTGCAGGCACTTCACAGGGACCTGCTTTGGAAGCAGGTAAAAGAAAAAGGTAGGTCTGGAAACCACTTTTTTTTTTTTTTTCCTCCTTCTGGTAGCTTATTTATTTATTTACTTTAAAGATATGTGAGGAATACAGCATATATATTCTGATATACCTGCTTGGTCAAAAAGTATCATCACATAATGTCGTCTCAACTCACGGGAGCATCAATGGAGGGAAGAAAAAGTAACCACCCTGGTAGGTATGTTAATGCTATTGCATTAAAAGAAACTTTCACCATCTTTTCTGCCAGTAAAGTATGAATTTCTTTCCCAGAAAGCAGCATCATAACCACTAGACTAAAGAAAAGCAAAGCTAAAGCTGTCAATTTTGAGAAGTACTTATTTTAAAAGACTGATGATTAAAAAGCAGAATCTAACAGAAGAGATGCTTCCCTGCCTGGATCAGTAAAAATATATACAAATGTTCCAGAAACAGAAGCACGAGTTTCAAGACCAACTTTCAAAATTCAGAAGGAAAAACAATCTCCCCCAAAGKGGAGCACTCAAGATGGTAAGTGATTGACCTGAGCAAAAGGTCAATCACTTACCTAGGCAAAACCAGGAATGTGCCCGTGAAGGAAGCCCCTGCTGAACACAATCACAAGGCTGGCAAGCCTTGGTGCAGGGGGATGGCCCATTTTTCTGAACTATTTCAGTTTTTCAAGGCATTCTGAACACTTGATCCCAAATCTACGTGGACACCTGCATCTCAGGCCTGTATAGGCTTTTGATTCAGTTCATATGCTTCAAGAAAACACCCCACTAAAAGATGAATACAGTGGCTCCAGGACATGACTTTTAATATGAAGCACTCAGACTTTGAATTTTTGGAGAGAAACAAGAGAAGTCCTCCTAACGCTGGCTGCTGTTGTTTTGGGAGGTCTCCCAGTGACCTCTTACAATGTAGACATGCAGGAACATTTTCTTCTGACAAAGATGAAGCTATGACAGCTATGGGAGCTATCAAGGAATAAAGCTACTCTCAGATTACAAGCACAATCACCAATTTAAAAATAAAAAAATCCCAACAGCTAAACTTACAAGCCAGACAATTATTTTAATTTGTCAAATGTGAATACTCATCACTATGTGATTAACAGAATATTTAAAAAGCACATACACTGACAAAACAAAACCCTGTATGTCTCAGATATTTTGAGGAAAGTTACAGATTTTATGCCTGCATCTTTGCTGGGACATTCACCTGAAATTCACCAAGCCACTGGGCCACAGACCTGCTGCCACCAGTCACAGGGGGGGAATGAGGCCACATAAGGGCTATATAACCAACGCAGGGCACCCAGGAAGGCTGAGGCAGAGTGAAGGACTGAATTTAAACCTTCCAAAAACCCAAGATTACGTTTCTTCTTTTCCAAATACCTGTTACTTTTCATTTATATATTTAAACAWGAAACCCAAATACAGCCATGAAGGTCATATGAATGTAGCTTACTTAATACACATGATAAAAATGAACAGTAATATCACCCAGGAGGAACTAAAATCCAGAAATGTATCTGTACAGGTTTATCTAGTTTCAAAACAGCTACTTCAATAAGTATGTACTTTATCTCAAAGCCTATTATTTCATTTCAAATGCATTATCATCTTTCAGTACACTCAAATATTTTAGGTTAGATACAGAAAGCAACTTACTGAATAGCACCATCTTCCATTTAGGTAATATAAAAAAGGATCTTGAGGCTTAAGTTCAATTGCTTTGTCTAGGTGCTCCTATTAGAAAGAAAACCAGTGTCACTTTAGATGTTTGCTTGGCAAGTGTGTTTACATTCTAAGAAATTCACTGTAAATCATTCACAAATTTTGAAGCTCTTCTGCTTTATTTTTGTTCTAATATCCAAAAAACACCTTGATTAGCAAAACCCTAATGAAGGAAAACCAGAAAAACAAAATTAGTGAGCAGCTCGGCACATAACACAGCAAGCTGTGCTGCACCTAGAACATGACTGGGCAGTTCCAAAGTTCAACCAAACAACTCAAAAACTTTTGCCTTAGAAAGGCAATAAATGCAGTTATGTTAACTGCACAGTTACCACTATCAAACAACAGCACACCAAAGCTGTGGGAATGCAATTATTCTCTTGGGCAGATCTTACGAACCAGCACCAATCCCTTCCACCTTGGAACATCACTGTCCTAATGATATGATTCATAAGGCAATAAATGGTTGCTAWAATGTAAAATATAGGAAATAAAATGGTTCCGCTACGATGAACCAATAAAATCCAGGAACTATCTAATGGGGTGCTTCTTTAAAAAAGTATTACAGGTCATTAGTTTTCTATTTATCTGTTTAATTCACTGCAAAAAGCCTTTGTTGCTTAATCTCAATTTAAAGAAAAAAAAAGATACATTATTGCATCACTAACTTCTATTTGCCTCAAAATAAATTTCTCTTATATGGATTTTTTTCCCCTAGATACCTGTTTTGCTAATTAAGCCAATCAGTAAAMTATCCAAATTACACTGATCTAAGCACCTAGTATTTCATCAATTTGTGCCCAACTATTCAGACATAGAGCTACTTTTTCATGCTACTGTTTTCCCCAAAGTCTCCATGCCCCCAGATGACCTCTATGGAATTCAGCAAATACTTCCCCAGAGGGACCTCACTGAAAAGGCTACTGCCCAGCTGGGGGCTCTTCCTAAGCTCCATCCTTCAACAGCAGCAGGACTTCTCCATTACTTGCCCCCTCTTTTGCACAACATCACATCAGTTTTGCTTTGCTCCTACCAGGCCCCGACACCTGGGACTTATTAATTTTGTCACGGCTGTGCCAAGTGACCTGAGCCCTCCTAGGAGAGGCCAGCAAGACCCAATGCCCTGTCAAGGGGGACAATTCTTATTTTTTTTTTTGTCAGCATATCACCTACTTACATACATAAAAACATAACTCCTTCACTTCAACATGGGCACTAAAATATACCTTTGAGGATGAAATAATGTGCTGGAAAAATYCATCTTTGGCAATGTACGAGGAAATAAACTTACAGGAACAGCTTAAGAGGAACAAAAAGGCAAACAAATAAAAAAAAATGCAACCCTACGAAAAACATACCTTAAAGAGATAACCATTCCTGATTTTGTTTTGTACACTTTCAAACTGAGACATATAGCCACACATAATTGCAAACCTGAGAGGGGAAAAGAAAAACACACACACATACTTTTTTGTGATTTGAATAAACCGTTGAATCAAGTTACAAAATATTTCAATACCTAAATCACCGATTAACACCTGCTTTTCTTCCACCTTGATGGCTGCTTAGAAGTTTGGCACGAGCTGTATACATTCAGGAGCAGAAAAACAAAACAAAGCACAGCAGTAATGGAAACAAGAAGCTTACGTGACACTGGGCTGCCAGTGAAGCGACCCAACAGGGATGTTCCCCCCAAATTTAATTCATTTAAATTGGCAACACTTCCAGACTAGCTTTGGGAATGACAGCAGTTGAATGCAACGTGTTGTGTCCAAGCCCTGCCAGGCCCCAGGAGCCCGACCCTTGCCAGGGATGGCGCCTGCTCCAGGGGAGGCAGCTCCTTGGGATGCTCTGCGTGGGGAGCTGAGCCCATCCCAACCATCCTTCGCTACCCCCCACAGCCCTCCTCAAATGCCGTGGGGCATTTCACAACCTCTAGGCTTTGTTTCAGTGTGTTTAAATTACTTAAAATTTATTTAAAGATAAATATGCACATCCTGTTCTTACAGGATAACGACTGCTATTCTATCTGCCCATCGTAACTTTTTTTATTTTTATTTTGTTTTATTTTGAGTGGGGGCACTGAAAACAAGAAATGCGAGGGCATTTCTGTTAAAAAATACTGTTAAGCAGGTAAAGCTTGTAATATTTTCATTTTTATTAGGTAATATAATCATGTATAACATACAGAGTAACACTACTCTCTATTACACTTCCTCAGCAATACTGTTGTTTTATTGATGACTCACTGCACGCATTTTTACTGCTGTGCCATTATTACTACACAACTTTCTATGCATAACCAAAAGAAAACTCCACACACAAGTTCAGTCCTACCTTCCATGGGCCTATTTTCACTGGCATTAAGACAACTTCACATTTCTGTGTAAAACTAATGCAACCACTTACGATACAGTTAAGCAGCATAAGCTAACACAGATGTTCTCTAGATTTTTTTCAGAACTTTACTTTCCTATTAAAATTTTTACAGTGCAATGTCAAACTGAAACAGAGTAATCCCTAAAGAGGGGGCTCAAGTTGAAGTGCAGAGGAAAACATGAGTTATGCAAGAAACTTACCCAGTTAATCGCAGTAACAGAACCACAACCTGTATGGCACACACTGATTATAAGAATTACTATATTTCAGCTTTCCTGAATTCCTTAATACCCCATAATGGTTCAAGCTCCAGTGAATCCTCATTAAAATGTCGCTTCTAACCTTAATAAATCATTTTATTGCTTACAGCCACACTTARTGGCTTGAATCTTAAAATCCATTTGAGAAGCACTCCTGCTGCAGACCATTAGTATTTTTATTCTGTAGATGTTCCTGGCTATGGCAGGAAAGGCAGCCCAGCTGCAGCAGCTGAACTGGTAAGAGCTCCAGACAGACTGTCAAATGCTGTGCAGCAGGATGCTGTGATCCGTGTGCCCGGAACAAAATCCAGCTAATCCCACCGCTGCTTCCGACAGCCAAAGCTGCAGCGGGAGCCCCTTGCACAGGGGAAGGGGCTGCAGTGGAAGGGAAACKCAAGGGAGGGTCAGCAAAGTTCAGGTATTTGCAGAGAGGGGGAAGGTACCGAAAACTTGCTCTGGCTTAAGTAACTCGGGCGACATTTCCCCTATTCCCTTTACTCATTAGGTGCTAATCAGATAAACTCAGCATGCCATAGCTAAACGGATTGCTGCTACAAAAGAAAACAATGAAAAGCGAACAAGCTAATCCAGCATCTTGCAGTATTTCCCTGTCTGTGCGTGACAAGAAAGAGGGCCTTAGTTTAAAGCAGTTCAGAGAAAAAAAACTTTTACTTACAGCTCAAATCTCCGGTGGAGAGAAATGCCAATAAAATTTTCAGCAAACGAAAAATGAGCTAGTCTCCTGCCTGTAAGTGCATTTTCAGTCTTCGAAGCTAATATGAGAGGATCTCAKGGATGAGTGTCCCTTTTTTATATTTTATACTTCTGAATTGGGCTAAGCAAGCATTTAGCATAAATTTGTTGTTTAGCTTTTGGAGTTAAAATTCTATGGCATTTCAGAGACTGACTTCCAGAGAAGGGAAGGGAGGAAAAAGAAGGGAAGGGAGGAAAAAGAAGGGAAGGGAGGAAAAAGAAGGGAAGGGAGGAAAAAGAAGGGAAGGGAGGAAAA